AGAAGGGATGAAGAGATGAGGATGTGTTGCTCATTTCCCTAATGACTTAAATGCAATATGCAAAACTCGTACCTCTAAATGTAATAGTCTGGCTGCCACCTCCTGCATTTCCATTTCAAGACTGGACATATTAGAATCACAGGTAACACAGTAAACCATAAAGATTTGCGACAACACAGGATAAAACCTTAAGAGGAAATTAACTAAAATGGCAGGTGAGTAATGACCAGAAAGATTCAGTAAGACAAAACACACAGAAAATAATGTTCAGCAGAGACAGATTGGAGAAACCCGCTTTGTTGCTTAAGGCAATTTTCTTACATCACCTGACAAAACAATTTGCTTTGAAAAGGCACTTTTAGAAAATAAGTCTGTGCAATAACAACAATCTTACAAGCTGATTGCACTTCACACAATCTGTTTCAATCTGTCAAATGGTGCTATTAATCTGTCGCGGCACTGCGATTTAGGAAAGAAAGAAACAGATTTAAACGGAGACATGTCATCATCCATCAGCACTGCTCCCGTGTGTCGAACGAAAAAAAATGTGGTTCTTGTGCTGGCACCATGCTCAGAGGAAAAGAGGACAATCCTGAAGCCTGTCACTGGCAAATATGTTATTTGTTTCTAGCAGTAGCATAATGCTAACTTGCAGTGTACCTTTTATGTTGTATTGTACTATTTGTAAATGGATGTAGCAGCAATCACATTTTGATCTTTCATTTTGACACAGCCTTTATTCTCTTAATTGATGTATGTGTCACTGTTTTGATTGACAACCACAGATTTCTCCATGTTTCTCTCAGGACTGTCAACATTCATCTGGGATTACATTTATTGGTATTACAAAATAAATTGAACCAAAAACAAATTATTCAACAATCCTAGATTTCCTGTCAATTATACCCCCCCTTCTCTCCATAACCAACAGCTTCACACTGAAAATGAATCCATCACTCACTACCCAACAGGAAATCCATCATATTAGGAAGCAATGATAACAGTCCACAGGGACTTTTAGGTGATTATCGGATGTTTCTGGGCTACAGAGCAGCAGCAGCAGCCAGTGTGGTGAGACGACTGTCGCGCAACTCCATTACCTCACGTATAATCAAGAGTACAGACAGCTGACTGGCTGATTAATGGCCTCAACTTAGCTGACATGCCTGCATATAGATGCCGCCCGAGAGCAGAGCTGCTATTAGTGGCGCTTGCGATATGAGGTTAGAATAAACAGAATCAACAGGGCTGTCAACAATATGGCCGCATCCGAACAGTCAGCCTCCTGCTCACCCAAAAGCATCTGGTTTCAGGACGGTCAGGAATAGAAACGTTTTAAATATATAGTCTGTCTGACAGCGAAAGCAGCAGACAATGTGGGTGAACTTGGAATTTATTTTCAATTCTTATAGTTCACCAGGTTATTAAACCAATGTCTATAATAAATGGTTAAATACTTAGCAAGGAGCATGTTATTTCAGGGGTAAGAGATATACAGTACCAGCAATCTGTCACCAACTGAAAGCCTCTTCTCTTCTCAAACACAATATCAAACCACATTTTTTTTAAACAGCAAGAACAGATATAACCATGACTCACTAAAGCTGCAGTATATCGATTCTTGGACATGCAGCAGTGATAAGAGTTTAAGTAAATATAGATATCAAAAGTTTAGATAAACGAGCACTTCATTTGAGTCTGTGTGCACAAAGTTCATTCAAAAGTTTGATCTTCCACATTTACCTCTTGAACCACAACTGGTCTTTGGCTACGCAGATCAGATCTAATGCCAAACAAAGGCCACAAATATGGTCTAGCCACAAGCCACAATACATCTGTCATTGCAGAATCCTGAACTTCATCCAAAGGCCTGCAGACAGGGGCAGCTCACTTACTTCAAATCTGTTGTTATCACAAAGATCACAGCGTCTGGCAAAACCAAGCGGTAACGTCTCCTGAGTAAAGATGGCATCAGCACAGGCCGATGGCCTTTCAAAGCTCTTTCCACTTAATTCGTTTTTAGCTGCCCTTTCATGTGGAAGTCATGTGAGGGAAAATATGAGAAAAGGGGCCATAAAACTGGTCACACTGAAAATGATATTCTTCACTGAGGCTAATAAGGGCTCTTACAGTACTTCCCAGCAGAGGATGTCATATTTCCCTCGTTTGTCTTATTATGAAAGATTAAGATGATATCTCATATGTCTTGACACAATTGGATTAGAGATGCAGGGTTCTTGATGTTTTGAGGCAAAAATCAACTACGAATATGAGTACTATAAATAAGACTTCTAAAGAAGCGTTACATGACAGTTTGACACTCGTTAAATTGCTGAAAAATACGTTATAGCTGCATCCTACATCTGTCTCATTCCTCGGTGCATTATTATAGGAAACATATATTCCACACACTGAAAGGCTTTGGTTGAATCTTGTTCTAGGAAAAGATGGAGGTCGGAGGTTAACCGAGATGACCTCGGCTGACCAGAGTGACGAGTGAGGACCGTGCGGAGCCTGCGCTGCGGTCAGGGACAACCGCTTCACTTTGGTAACGAGGGGAAAAGCTTATATCCTGAGTGAGCACTTCTGAGGAAATGAAAGCAAGTGGAAAAAATATTGAGACGTCTAAATGATTCTGCAGTTAAAAATAAATAAAAAATCCGACCAAATAAACCAAGCAGATATGTGATACAGTGAACGTCATTCCTCTGCACCGTGAGGCAATGAGGGCAACAGCGGGAACACACACTTCATTCAGTCACACATTACAGCTGCAATTCTAAAAATAAGGTTGGAACATCCATATGTGCTGCTCAGCCTGGTTTCATAGATCAACAAACCATGGGTTGTATGCATGATGAATTAGGCTCGAACACAGAGGGTTAAATAACAAAAACTGCTCAGCCACAGCAACATGCCAACATTTTACACAAAATGATAATGCCCCAAAACTGTGTATCTGTACAGGATAGGGCTGCTCGATTATGGCAAAAATCATAATCACGATTATTTTTGGTCAATAATTGATATCACAATTATTAAATACGATTATTCATTGACTTTTAAAACGTCCATATATTGAACTTTAAAACAAATACAAATAATAATTTGATCATCAACAAATATTTTGGAGCATACTTCCACAAGCTACTAAACATATATAAATATGATAAATAAAAATAAATCAATTAGACTAAAATAAATTAGATCAAATATGTTGCAGTGCACTGTCACAACCTAGCAAAGCAAAATAATCGTTTCTTTCGATTATGTTGTTTTCGTAATTGTGGCAGGCCAAAATCGTAATTGCGATTAAAAAACGATTAATTGCACAACCCAAGTACAGGACAAGTCTTATGTAGTAGAGTGCTGCACATTGGAATCATGTTTTGATGTACAAATGAATATATTAATATGAATGTGCACAAATGTCATTAAGAGGATGAAAAGAACGGGACAGGCAGTCTCTGCTTTCAATTTAACAAGAGCTCTAAGCATTTTGTTGAATAATCGATCATCTCAGTTTACTTTCAGTTTCAGGCAGACTTTGGATTACATTATTTGGGTTTCAGGGGCGAACAGATACAAGTATTGATTTTGCATGCCAATGCATCAGTATGCAGCAGTGGCAAACTACTATCACTACTAGACCTTTTGTAGACACACACACCCCCCGCCAAAAATCTTACTAAGGTTTTCACACAATTTACACAACATTTTAAGAGTTCATATTAAAAAGTTCCATTATAATGTCACAGATACAGTACACTTTGATTTATTTACTCTTCACAAAAGCAAGGGCATTTTCACTAATCTAATGCTGCAAAATGTTCTTAAATCCAAGGACAATGTTCACAGTCACGGTCACCTCAAAATCATGTCGGTCAGTTCTTGGTGAGTCGGTTAAAAAAAAAACGTATGTTTAACCAGATTTTCGACTTTCAGCCAAAACTATGTGGACTAGACAGCGGGCAGCTTGATGTGCCACTGACACAAATAAACATCTAGTGCAGGCCACAGATAAATAACTTTCTTCCGGTGTGCTTTGTGGCAGCTGAGCATCTGGCACGTGCATCAGTTGAGCCAACACACAAAGGAAGAGTCATTTTTAAAAACATGTTGAGCCACTACTGTACAAAACTGTATCCGCTCTATATTTTATAACTGGTGTTATAGTGATGCTGCAGGACATCACTGCTTTAGAGTTGTGACTGTATGCAGCTTGTTGCTGTGAGAGCTCCGGGTTAAGACCACATCTCTCTGGAGGCCACGGTCTCTCACATCTGCACAGCTCCAAAGCAGCTGCATGTAACTCAAAAATAATTGCTTCCTCCACAATGTCCAGGACAGCATGATGTGTGTGCTCCTCCCTACAGGGATGGTAACTAATCAACATATTACAACCATTTATCATCAGCTGGCTTTGTAGTTTTGTGTTAGTATTATCTGAGGCACACGTGATAGATGAGTCTGTTGGTATGATTCTGGTAGGTAGTGGAGTTATACTGGCAAAGTAAATGTACAATTCAATATGCTTATCACTGAAAACACAACACCATTATTTTTAGAATTTCAAATATGTAAAACTTACAAAATGCATCTTTATATCATGTATGAGATGCCTACTGAATTTAGCCATATTTAAAAGAAAATATAAGTTCAAAACAAACTAACGATTTGTATTATCAGTGGAGAAGAGGATTACACTGCAGGCATATTTGTCAAGTTTTGACTGACGTTCAAATCGATTCCAACAGAAAATGTGGTCACAATTTAAAACCACCATGAATCCAAGCGGACCACATACACTGTGCTTTGCGATGAAGCAAAACTTAAAAATATGTCACATCTTCCTTTTAAGCCAACAGAGGTAAAAGTTTCTGTGTAATACCATAGTATAATACACATTAAACATTTTAATAAACTACACTTTTAAGCCGTGATTAACTAAAGCCTTAGTTGTGAGCTGTGAACGTCAGTGTGAATGTTGGTGCTGGTACCGTGAGCGAGGCGGTGCACCCAGTAGTAGCAGAAGTCCACGCCAAGAAAGGCGATCCACCAGGTCCAGGCCGAGTCCCAGGGCAGCTCCAACAGGCGGTACCGGTCCCACACGAACATGTAAGCAGTCAGCTCACAGCCTCTCATGAACAACCTGAGGGAGTCAGTACACAGAGAACATGTTCAGTTCAGTTCATTTGTGCATCTTGACACACTTTTACTATCTACAGTACCATATTGATACAAATGAGTTAACAAAAAAGTATTTTTTTCTGGTATGACATGCAGCTCCACTATCTGATTATAAAGTATAGTACGGCCCAACTATGAGCAGCTCAAACACTCACAGTGGGATTCTGGAGATCATTCCAGCAGATACAGAGGTGAGTCCATCACTGAGGGTGACCACTGGGGCTCCTGTCTTCAGAAAACCCACCACCAGCTCCAGCACCATCAGCCCTACAAAGAAAGGAGTAGCCTACACACACACACACACACACACACACACACACACACACACACACACACACACACACACCACACACACACACACACACACACACACACACCACACACACACACCACACACACACACACACACACACACACACACACACACAACACACACACACACACACACACACACACACACACACACACAACACACACACACACACACACACACCACACACACACACACACACACACACACACACACACACAACACACACACACACACACACACACACACACACACACACACACACACACACCACACACACAACACACACACACACACACACACACACACACACACACACACACACACACACACACACACACACACACACACATCACACACACACACACACACACACACACACACAGATAATCAAGATTCAGCACTGTTACAAACTGTGAAAACAAGACAGTTTCAAGCTGTGTCTCAGCTTGAATATTTGTCTTGGAAGAAGAGTTTAAATCTTGCAGGACTTTCATGTCTTGTGATCCATGTTTATTTCCCTTCACCAGTCTGGAGAAAATGGTCTTAAGCCACAATGTATTGGCAGATTGGAGACCACAAACATTTGTCTGAGCAGAGCTGCACTGGCGGAAAAAAGGATCTCATTGTTTGCTTTAAAGATCAGGGCTAGAAAAAACACACCATGAAACTTAATTGTCTTATAAATACAGCAAAGTCCTCTAGATCAGTGGTTCTCAACTGGTGGGTCGCGACCCAAAAGTGGGTCGCGGACCCGTTTCGAGTGGGTCGCGGATGTGTGAGTGAAGAAAAAAAAATTGGAATTTCTTTTTTTTGGGGAAAAAAGTCAAACTTTTATTTTGAAGGCCCAATTTTCTAACGCTTTGCATGCAGTAGGCGTTGGACTGTAGGCCCGTCCACACAGCGGCGTGCGTTGACGCTTGCCGGCGGGCGTGTCTGACACTCGACCAACAACCAATCACATGAATCTCCCGCCCCTGACACACAAGCAGTGGTTTGATTGGCTAGAGCTTGTACTGGCATATGATTCGATTGGCTGACGCTTCTGCCGAGGCGTCAAAAGTTGAACATTGCTCAACTTTTGCCGCGAGCCACGCCAGCAACCTCCGCGTCGCTTCCCACGATGCAGTTCGGCGTGACCCCATTCAAAGTGAATGGGCAGAAGCGTTGGAAGCTTCAACGCACGCCGCTGTGTGGACGGGCCGTAAGTACCGGGGACCATAAACGGTTTTGAAAACTTCTGTGACATAGTGATCATCTTCTCAATAAAATATCTTTGCTGATGTTTTTTCGAGTCTTGTGGCCAATCAGAATCAAGATTGTTGCCGGAAGTCCCCACGGAGAATAACTTTGCGGTAGAACTATTCTTTATACATCCATAGGTACAACTTCAGATACAAATGAACACATTGAAATATGACCCCCGGTTTGATGATTGACAGGTCACAGAACAATGGGAGCCACACAGACTATCTCCTCTTTACTCTTCTCGCAGCAAGATGTCAGAACAAAGTAAAAAACAAACAATGGCATAAAATATTATTAATATGTCGGGTAATAATAGATTTATTTATTTTCTTCTCAGAGTGTACCAGAATGCATAGTTTATGTTAGTATTTCTAAAAATCTCCTGGGGGAGAATCCCCCCAGACCCCCCTGCTGGGGTTGGGTTTTCAGCATGTGTGCCTTTTTATATAGTTCAGCTTTGATTCCATCATCTCATTAAACCTTTTTTAAAAGCATACTTTAGTTATGTGAAGGGATATAAGGGATATATGCACTGTACTTCACTTTAGTTAATATTGTATGCTGAAAAGTGTATATATTACAGCACAATTTTTTGTTGAATAGATTTCAGTGCTTCAAAATGTTGGGTCGCGATGTATTGACCAAGTAAAAAGTGGGTCCCGAGGCCTGACCAGTTGAGAACCACTGCTGATAGTGGTAAGATAGTTAGCATGTTAGCTTAAAGAGCCTGTGACAGCCTCCCAACAACTGGTGTGCAATGAAATATTGGGCTACTAGTCATCTTGAACCGTCAGTTTAAAAAAGAAGGTGCGATACCATTCCGATAAATATCAATAATTTCGAACATCGCGGGGAAATTCCTTCGACTCATTTTGAAGTTTTGGGGGAAGCCGGAAGTGACGTCAATGCGGGAACGCTTCACTGTGCGGCGAGAGCATGGATGTATGGGCGAGAGAGCCAAACACGGACAAAGTGTGTTGTCAAGCGTAGAAATGGTGAATTACTGAGTTTAGGCACGTTAATAACGTTTTAATGAATTTGACTACAGACTACAGCTCCCTACGGTGGCCCTGAAGTGCAAGACACCACAGCATTTTACAAAACACAACAGCATTTCAGAAAACACTACAGCATTTCACAAAACGCCGCAGCATTTCACAAAACACAACAGCATTTCACAAAACACAACAGCATTTCACAAAACACTACAGCATTTCACAAAACGCCACAGCATTTCACAAAACACAACAGCATTTCACAAAACACTACAGCATTTCACAAAACGCCACAGCATTTCACAAAACACTACAGCATTTCATAAAACACAACAGCATTTCACAAAACTCTACAGCATTTCACAAAACACAACAGCATTTCACAAAACTCTACAGCATTTCACAAAACACAACAGCATTTCAGAAAACGCCACAGCATTTCCCAAAACACCACAGCAATTCACAAAACACAACAGCATTTCACAAAACTCTACAGCATTTCACAAAACACAACAGCATTTCCCAAAACACCACAGCATTTCAGAAAACGCCACAGCATTTCCCAAAACACTACAGCATTTCACAAAGCACTACAGCATTTCACAAAACACATCACCATTTCACAAAACACTACAGCATTTCACAAAACGCCGCATTTCACATTGGACGGAAAGGGTATTCCTTTAGGGAGAACACTTCTTGTTTATGATTGGACAGAGCCAGCCAGAGAAGCACTGCTGTGATTGGTTGTTTTTGCTGCCAGTCAAGAAATGACGCTTTGTGATTGGTCAACGCCCGACAGCGCAATATGTCCCAACCGGTCCCGTCCCAACACATCAGCCGTTAGCACACACTCAGAGCTCACAGCTCCTCATATCTGTTCAGAAACTGGACAAAAGTTAAACATGTACACAGACTGTCTGTGTCATGGCGAATACAGTCGCTGCTTTATTTATGTCTGTATGACGTTGTTGTGAGTGTGGACGGAGCAGCTACAGGTTAGTTTAGCCTGATGGATCCGATTCCATTCAGAAAACACGCATTTTAAAAGCTTTTCGCCTGCCGTCTTGTCTGCAAACTTGTCAAAGCGTTAATTCATGGTTTTTACTAACCGTTATCAGTATGTAGTTGCTTCGGCATCACTTTGAAACATGTATCACCATTAAATCACGGTCAAATATGTTCATTTTGTTGTAGTTGGTATCTCCCATAAATTTACATGGAGATACGCCACGCCCCCTCTCCAGCGCGTCTTGTTTGAATGACAGGAGCAAACACAGCTGACAGCCGCGTGAAACTCGAGTGATTAGAGCGATGCGAATATTGAGTAGTCTACCATAGTATTTACATGGAGATAAGCCCCTTAAAAACCATGAATTAATAAAGCATTCATTCTGTGTTTACTCCTGTTATTCAAACAAGACGCTGGAGAGGGGGCGGGGCGTATCTCCATGTAAATCCTATCGGAATCGGATCCATCAGGCTAAACTAACCTGTAGCTGCTCCGTCCACACTCACAACAACGTCATATAGACACAAATAAAGCAGCGACTGTATTCACCATGACATAGACAGTCTGTGTTTTTATATGTTGAACTTTTGTCCAGTTTCTGAACAGATATGAGGAGCTGTGAGCTCTGAGTGTGTGCTAACAGCTAACAGCTGATGTGTTGGGCCAATCACGAAGCGTCATTTCTTGACTGGCAGCAAAAACAACCAATCACAGCAGTGCTTCTCTGGCTGGCTCTGTCCAATCACAAACAAGAAGTGTTCTCCCTAAGGAATACCCTTTCCGTCCAATGTGAAATGCTGTGGTGTTTGTGAAATGCTGTGGTGTTTTGTGAAATGCTGCTGTGTTTTGTGAAATGCTGTGGTGTTTTGTGAAATGCTGCGGCGTTTTGTGAAATGCTGTGGTGTTTTGTGAAATGCTGCGGTGTTTTGTGAAATGCTGTGGTGTTTTCTGAAATGCTGTTGTGTTTTGTGAAATGCTGTTGTGTTTTCTGAAATGCTGTTGTGTTTTCTGAAATGCTGCGGTGTTTTGTGAAATGCTGTTGTGTTTTGTGAAATGCGGTTGTGTTTTCTGAAATGCTGTTGTGTTTTCTGAAATGCTGTTGTGTTTTGTGAAATGCTGCGGCGTTTGTGAATGCTGTAGTTTGTGAAATGCTGTGGTGTTTCGTGAAATGCTGTGGTGTTTTGTGAAATGCTGTTGTGTTTTGTGAAATGCTGTTGTGTTTTCTGAAATGCTGTTGTGTTTTGTGAAATGCTGCGGTGTTTTGTGAAATGCTGCGGCGTTTTGTGAAATGCTGTGGTGTTTTTCTGAAATGCTGTGGCGTTTTGTGAAATGCTGTTGTGTTTTGTGAAATGCTGTTGTGTTTTGTGAAATGCTGTGGTGTCTTGCACTTCAGGGCCACCGTAATATTCATATTTGTCAGTGCTTCCATGTCAATTCGGCGAACATAAACATAAATGATCGTGGTGAAGATGATTAAATTAGGATTAAAATTGGAGCTGCTGAATTTCCTCCCGTCAGATGTGATATAAAAACAAATCGATTATTTTTGTAGTTGTAAACTCAAGTGGATGAAACTACATTTATTAGTGCTTTCATGTCAATTCGGCAAACATATGATACATTAAATGATCGTGAGGATGATGATTTAAAAATCGTTTGTTTGAGTCTGCATTTCCTGATGAGAAAACAAACCGACGCTTTTTGTAGTTGTACACCAACAT